AAATTTTTTTATATGTAACAACCGTAATTTGATATTTTTATTTAATGTAATACATTAAAAAAATAAAATATATTATTATATAAAAAATCCCTAATAAAATGTAAGATTTCAGGGAAATTAATTAAAAAGAAGCATATGCTTATATCATAATAGTATTCATTATTTTTAAATAATATTGCATTTATATTTAACAAACTAATGGGGATTATTTACCCCCAAACTTATATATGATTTAATAATCTAGTTCCAGTGCCTACCACTAATGTTCTCACCCAGCCCGGGAAAATTTTTTAAAACCATATAAAAAATAATAATTCATGGAAGAGAGCACTCATGTGTTTTTATTTAGCAGATCAGTCATATTAGAATGTGATTATTCAACTATTGACAAATAATATTCATAAACCTCTAAGCCAACGCGGAGGTCTCTGATGGAAATACAAAATAAATCCAATTATAAAATCAATACTGATATGAATGTTAAGTTTTACAAAACCCCCTCCCCTTTTGATTTTACCCTCTAAAACTTTAATGCCTCAATCGCATCGTACCCATTCGTGGGAGCAGGGATATAATAGACCTCTTTCACTCTCCTGGAATTTTTTTTTAAAGAAATATTAAATTTGTATAATATAATTGTTATTAATTATGATTGCATATTTTTTAAATTATAATTATATTTGAATAAAAATTTAATTTTACTGAAAGTTTTTTTATTATAAATTAAGATTTGACTTTTATTATATACCTACTACGAATAGAGTAATTGCATTATTCGTACGAATAGAATAATTCCTCATTTTATTTAAAAAAAATAAAAAATATATTTAAAAAATACGTGAGGAGGTGCCATTAGGTTATGACACCGTGGATTGATATTACAAATTTCCATTGAAATTCGCTGACATAAATAAAAACCTTCCCGAGAATCACCCGAAGATAAGCGCATTTTTTGGCCGAGGGCTTTAAAGAAATCCCGAACTCTGGGTCCAAAAGCATCGATTGTGTCAGAAACAATGGGGGGTTGAAATGATATTAGGAATGTTAATATAAATTTCCGCTCTAACTAAAGAATTGGAGCTAAAGGATGGTGCAAATCAATCAATTCATGCCCGGGCTATCGGGATTCCCTTGCTCCATGGAAAAAATGTCATTCCTTTAGGCCTGATATTGTCCCCGAGATTAAGACCTACACGTTCCAAAGTTGATGGAATATTAGCTGAACGGAGAGATCTAGCAATAATCGAATTTACTACTTATGATGTGGATGGTGGCCGATGGAGAAGCAGCAGTCAAGAGGGTGGTAGTCTAGACTATAATATTTTTTGTGGGTTAGCCGTTTCAAAAATCGAGCTGTATTAATTTTTAAACACGGCCCAGCCCATTTATTTATTCACTATTTTTTTTATCAATCTTTTTATTTTAATTAATTTATATCACTGGACTAACTTAAGAGCCCTCCAAGTTGAAGCCTAAAAAGTATAAAAAATTCCAGCCTAAAAAATTGAGCCAAGTCGAGTTAGCGCCAAAAAATAAATCATTGCACCCGGTGGCTGAATTATTGATGAATGTAGGATTTTGAAGTAACGAGTGTCTTTATTTTACATTTTAAGATTTAATGTTTGGATCTTTTGAATATTCATAGGCATTTGACGACAAGCAAGGCTGAAATAATTGAAAAATTAGCTCCATCTCAACGAAAATTGGATTTTACATTGTAAATATATAACATAGCAAATACAATTATTCCTAAGAAACTTTTTGTATATTAATTCATATTTCTAACATTTAAATTTTTTATACTTATATATAAATTTTAAGGCTCAAAAAATTCAAATTTCTATTTTGGGTCATTTAAGTGATTCTTTACATATAATTTTTTTTATAATTCACATTAATTTAAAATTGTGTATTAGAAATAGTTATTAGTCCTAATAAATTTATGCTTGATATTTTTAAAAAACATTAATATTTCTTAAAAAATTTTATTATCCCCCCCCCCCCCCCCCACGACCAAATTCCTGCGTACGCGCCTGACAACCAGTATAAAATTAGAATTTAACATAGATTTGCGACGACAAAAGATCACATTTTGTTTTTTTATTCGATCGTGTAATAAATTTCTCTAATTAATTCCTCTAAAAAAATCGATAAAAGGCTAAATATACTCCCATTTTAAAAGAAATACTACAACATTAAAATGGTTTAAAAATTATAAAGATATATATAAATACAACAAAATCGATACGAACGACCAATCATTTAAATGTAAACGTCTTTTTTCCAATTTATTTTTTCTCACTGATTTCTTGTAGCATGCATAAATATAAGGCAATTATAGTCGTTTTCACAATGCGTTAACCCCCCCCCCCCCCCCCCCATCATCAACGGGAAAATAAATATTGTTTTTTATAATTAGGACTAATAACTATTTCTAATACACAATTTTAAATTAATGTGAATTATAAAAAAATTATATGTAAAGAATCACTTAAATGACCCAAAATAGAAATTTGAATTTTTTGAGCCTTTAAAATTTATATATAAGTATAAAAAATTTAAATGTTAGAAATATAGATTAATATACAAAAAGTTTCTTAGGAATAATTGTATTTGCTATGTTATATATTTACAATGTAAAATCCAATTTTCGTTGAGATGGAGCTAATTTTTCAATTATTTCAGTCTTGCTTGTTGTCAAATGCCTATGAATATTCAAAAGATCCAAACCTTTCAATCTACTAAGTTGTACTTCTTGGTATGTTTTTCAGAGACCTGCAAGGTCGGCCCCGGGCCGGACAGTATTTTAATTTATTTAAATATACCCGGGCCGGGCCCGAAATTTTTAAAAAAACACACCCGGACTGAGCCTGAATTTTTTTAAAAAACACCAAGACCGGGCCTGAAATTTTTAAAAAAAAATCCGGGCCGTGCTCTGCAAATGGTACTTCTGCAGGGCTCTGTTATTCTTCTTAAAAAAGAGAATGTTCTCTCATTAGTTTAAAACATAGTTATTCAGCTAATAAGGCATCATAAGATACTTTAACATCTTCATGATAAAAATCCAACAAATATTTTTTTTTCTATCACCATCCGAAAAAGGTTGGGAAGGCATTTATGGAAGTAATATTTGCAAATTAGTAAGGGGTGTATGATGAATTAAAAACCATTCATTTATTTGGGTTATAAATGTATCTGTATCTAAGATATACTCTTCTACTGATCCTATATTAATGTTTTAACTATGAGCTTGCCTTGCTGCAAGTCGAGGGAGACAAATATTAAACACGCATAGCTCTGTTTTGACTTAACAATAACATTTAAAATATGAAATTCATAATTTCCTTGAGTTCTAATAAAATGCTCTCCGCTATTCTCATTCATAATCAAGTCAATGTCATGTTTTTGAAAAGTAATACATAAAATAGTTGTATAATTAAATAATACATTCTAATGAGAAATTTTTTTGGAATAAGCATTGAATCCAATAATTTTCTTGCTTCTGAGAAAATATTTCTTTCAGGCCATTGTGATATTTCAGTAATAGCAAATACTCGGCTCTTCTGTTACTGCTTGATGGCGGAGACTCCATCTCGTTGGACAAAGTTGCAATTTCTTTCTCCCTGTTGGACAAGAAGTTTCAGAAATAATTATTATTTGACTAGAAATTTGAAAATGGTAGATAAATATTACGCCACTAAAAATTTGAAAATAATAAGTAAATATTAGGCCGGAAAACTAGAAATCGAAATTAATTGATAAAATAACTTAGTTGATGAATGTGATAATAAATGTAATTAAATATATATTTAATATGAGATAGGAATAAATATTAACAAATATAAATTAATATAAACAATAATATTTTTGAAAAATATATCCGGCATCTGCATTTTTTGGCTTGGGGGGGAGGAGATTTGTCCCCCTGCCCCCCCCCCGCTGTGTACGCGCCTGCTGGTTGTCAATATCGTGCTTTAAAATTATTACCATAAATCAAAGGTTTACCTATATCAAGTATCTGCCAATACTGATACTTATTTCGATACACAAATTTTATTTATTTCACATTCCCTTCTCTCCTTATTAGGTTGGGATTACAGTTAAAGGTTAGTATAATTTGCTTATAGAGCAAAAATAATTATTCAAAAAAAAATCCCCATTTAAGGGAATTTTTGTTTTGAATAATTATAAATCCTGATTATAAATTTTCTCTTATCGATTGACAATTTTCATTTAATTTATAGTTGCTTTTCAAAATAAATAGATTTATTTATGGTCACATTGTGTGTATGAACCCAGCGTTGGGCCTATTTTTATAAATCTGTCCGGTATTCCTTTTAATAATTTCGAATTGTACTGTAAGTACAACCGGTGTCTATAATTAGCCTCATACAAAAGTTATTAATATTTAGCTTAATAAATAATATGATTTCATATTTGGGTTATGACCTAAAGTTGACTAGTGTGATTAAATCTGATCCATAGGGACTTTTAATATTTAAAAAATTCTATAATCAAATCTTTGAAGTAGATCCAACCCGCGTTAAAAACAGGCTCTGGTTAATAAGTTCCGATAATCTAAACTCGAACAGTTTGGCTCAGGACCAGATACTATTTTATAACTAAACTATATTCTTATAAATTATAATTATCAATTTTTTAATAACATCTTTGTTAAAATTCCCGATTTGGGTCTATTTTTCAAACAGCCCGATGAAAAATATAACTAAAATTATATTATTTAAGCATCGAGATTTGGCAAATAGATGTCCAAGCATTTCTGCCAGCTATGAGCAAAATCTTTAGGCTTACATAACGTTATTTTGTAATCTTAATCGGGCAGTTTTTTCAAATCTACCCGAATCGGACTTTTTAACAACACTAATAACGTCACACCCACAATGTTTAGTTTTTAATTAGTGAAAATAATTTTTTTTTAGACAATATCAACTCATCTATAATAAATGAAATAATTATATATATATATTTTTCCAAAATAGCCCAATCAAATGTATGTTCACACCAAATATCGTGCTGCTCAAATTTTATCGAAAAAATTATAACCGCTAAACAAATTATGAAGCTGGAAATAAATCTGAAAGAAATTGTATCGGGATTACATCAGGAATTTCACAAAAATTCCGTAAACCTACACAGTAAAATTTTACTACTATTTATTACTATATTCATAGAATGCCGGACAAAAATATCACACTTTTTTATAAATTATTTATCTTAAAATTATATTTAAAAGATTTGTTCAATTTATGGTATTTCCTGCCTGCTGTCATTTTGCTCCTAAGTATTTTTGTCTGAAAACCATTTTCATGAATAATAATATTAAAATATTCCTTAATAATTTGTGAACATAATCGCACTTGTAATGCAGCGTAAGATATTAGCAGTTCCTGAAAAAAAATATTGAAATATAAAAAACATGTGTATCGTTAAAAGTTAAAACATTGATTCTAAAAATTCTTTTCATATCCAAATTTCAATATTCCATAATTGAATTTCTTATATAGTGTAGTGTAGGTATACATATGGTTTTTATATTATAAACAAAAATAAAACTATTAAATTTAAACTGTTTAGTCAATCTTAATATATTAATTACATCATTATCAATAATGTCTTACATTATCTTTTCCATAAAAAAAAATATATAAAAATTTTGAGATTACCAAAAAAATGTCCATATAAGGAATTAAAAACGAATAAATATGGAAGTGTAAACATGATATAAAAAATTAATCAATAATCAAGACTGAGTTTCCTGGCCAGTTTTTTTTAAAGATTAGAGCAACCGTCATATCTAACTTAGGATGGAACGAGGATATATCCGTTTAGGGCAAATATAAAATATACATTTTTAATACAGTGTTGTGATGATTTAATGAAACAGATGATTAAATTCAAACCCATTCATATAAAATTATAATATTTGCAAAAATAATTAAAATAACAAAAGGAATAATAAAAGATATTTTGTCTATATTTTAATTATTTTTGCAAATATTATAATTTTATATGAATGGGTTTGAATTTAATCGTCAATATGTTTCATTAAATCATCACAACACTATATAAAATCACGTTCATAATAAAAAGAACAAATTTTATCTTTAATAAGATATGATTTAAAATTACAAAATTAGGTTCGTCAAACTCAAAAATAACTTATTTATCGTAATATTATATATATAAATATTGCATTAGCCATCAATTGCTTAAAAGTCATTCAATTTAATCATGTGTTATCGTGTTTATTAATTTAATATTGCATTATAGGGCATACGTTTTAGTCTATATTTGGTCTATTTTTTACCATTTAAAACTTTTCTCAAACATTGTTAAAATAAAATTTTTTTAAAAAAAATGAAAGCCATTGTGATGATTTTATGAAACATCACGACGAATCCCCATCCACATAAAAGTATTTTGCATGCAAAAATTATAAAAAAAACACATTTGAAATTTATTAAAAAATTTAAAATAATCTTTTTTTTTTCCTTAAAATTTGTTTTTATAACCGAGATTTTTTATAAAATAGGTTTTTAACTATAAAGTGGAAAACTTTTTGAATGAGTTAACAAATACAAATTCTTTATGGGTAAAACTTAAGGTAGTACCATTATTTAAATTGTGATATTTTTTAACTTATTTTTTCATTGTATATTTTCTATTAAATTTTCTTCTTTTTTATATGATAATTTCGAAAATAACTCTGAGAAATCTTCATTTAATGTATGACCATTTAATTCCCATGGTACACAAACCTGATATACCCATAGGTGCCCATTCATATTGGAAATTTAAACCTGTTTCATCTAAATAGAAGAATTTTGAATGGCACGTTCATTTTTAAACAATTTCTTTACGAATGTTGATAACATCTAGGAAATTCCGTCTATCAGGTTCTTTTCCAACCCTTTTCCGGCTCCATACCATTGATTTTATACATCTGAGATTAGTTGGTAAATTTTTCACCATATTTTTTTTATTGTAAGTCTATTATGTTTTAGTATTTAATAATTTTAGATTTCAATTCCGAATCATTCTTTTTTTCTCCTCTTTTTGATTACGTAATCGGCCAAGGTTTCATTGTATTGTTCGGGGAAGGTAATCCACTTGAATCGGTCTACCGAGCTAATGGATAAATTGAGGTCTTGCTCCATTGTTTTTATACTCGCTTGTTAAATATACAGGTTTACTTGAGTCATTTTTTAGCCATGGCGATTTTTTCCTGACATGTGCGTAGAACTATTTAGTTGATTTTTAAAGAATGTATAAAGGTATTTGTTATGTCAATTGAAGCTGAACATGAAATATTTTGAAAATAATTTATATAGGAGTTGTTTTTTTAATATTTGATATGTTTTGTTGATCGGGGGATGTAAAAAATTATATTAGATGGTTCTTCAAGTGAGGAAAAATCTAAAAATTTATATAATAAACAATATAATGTTAAATATTACAAACCTGTAGTTGTAGAACGATCTAAGATACGGGAGATAGTGAAATTATTCATTATAAATAAATTAAGAAAAGTTTTAAAAATAATTTTTTTTATATAAAGTTTAAAAAAATATATAAATATGATTTTTTAATTATTCTAGCAAGTTAAATCATTTTATGAGGGGGATTAATTTTAACCTCAACATGTTTCAAAAGCATCACAATACTGTAAATCAAAATGCACTTCAGGTGTCCTGTCTATCGACATTAAAATCGGCACCAGTTATCTATATCAAACATGCGAAACGTTACTATAAAGATATGTTAACAACAAAAGTCAAGCAATAACTATTAGTTACAATCAGAGTTGTTAACGCTCCTTTTTAAAAGTAGCTAGCTCCCGCTCCTACCTTCTCAAAAGGAGCTAGCTCCCTCTCCCGCTACTACATTTTTAAAAGGAGCTAGCTCCCGCTCCAAGTAATGGAGTGCCACTCCATAACCGCTCCTTTAATTTTCATTTTTTTAGAGGGTATACGAAATAATCTTATTTTTTTTTATCAAAAAGCTTTAGTTACATTAAATTATCTATCAAAATATTTAGAACCTTTTATTAGCTTTTAAAAGTAATAAATTTTAAATTAGAATCTATCAAACATCCACTCCTCTCCCCTAAGACCTGTTAGGCACTCCACAGGAGCACTAGAGGGAAGCAGGGTATTGTATTTTATAAAGATATTTTTTAATTCGGGGAATTTATCAAAAATTGTAATTTTGGTATCATTATTTAAAAAATATTTGTCCAATATATTATCTTCCTGATGATCAATTTCATGGAATCTAAAAAAATCTTTCAAATTAATTTGTATTTAAAAGAAAGATTTTTTAGTTTTAGATGCTTTTTTAGATTGAAGTTGCTCACTTTTGAAAATTAAATAGTTTTATTTAAACACAAAAGACATTTTGCCCGTAATTTGTTTGATCATTTGGATCAACATCTTTTAGAAGTTTAAAATATTTTTTGTATGATGGAAATGGAAATTCGATTTCTTCATCTATGATATCGAAATCCATAATATCTAAAACTATTTTTTATTAGCGCCGCTCCTTAGCAACTCTGGTTACAATGATTTTACAGTGAAACGAGTGTCATTATTAAATATACAATAAAAGGGGGTAAACAATATAAGATTTTATTTTAATTTAATACCTATTGATGAAATTAAATACGAACAAACGATTAATTTAGATTAATCGTCATGTTTAAGTATAAAAATAAATTACGTTGTAAATATATTAAATTTGTTATGAAAAATTATATATTTTCTTGATCTTCTTTAGAATGCTTAAGTAAGATTTTGATTAAATTTCATCTAAAATTCTAAATCATTATTTGTTAAAAGTCTTTTAATATTTGAAAATATTTTAGAATTTCTTAATTGTAAATAATTTTGTATCCATTTATTTCGATAAAAATACGAGAATACTATAAACTTTTATAATAAGATAACTCAATAAAATACATAAAAAATATAATTATAATTTATCAAAATATTCCATTGTTCCACGAATTTGATGATGGTACCTTTTTAGAAATTAAAAGAGTTAATATTATAATTATTAATACAAATCAATTATAAGGATTATCTAATTAATTAGTTGCCCGCGATAACCCAACTACAAATAGCCTTGCATGTGATTGTAAAAGTTAGTAAAATCATAAAGAATAAATCCGTGTAAGAGCTGAATAATATTTCCAATAATTTCATCTCTTGAATTAGGGCGGGAATTGATCGCTCGATTTTTAATTTTTAAAACTCAAAATTTTTTTTTGATGGGATTTAGTTGATGTGAACCTGGTGGTAGGTATCCAATCCTACCTTTATAGGCCTCGATGTCTAAGTCTTCTATGGGTAGATGCATTATCCATTAGTGGTAAGGCACTGATAAGTTTTGTCATAAAATCAATTAATATTGTGAACAACTTTGTACCCTTAACAAATATAAAATAAAATTTTAAAGATTTTGAACTAGGATTTATTTGATACTAATCACATTATGCAGATACTATCTCCGGGAAAATGCTTGCCGGACACTATAAATGTTTTCATCATTCACAGTGTATTTATAATTTTTTTAAAATGTGAAAATTTATAAAGAAAAATAATTATAAATTACTAATAAAGATTATAACAAATTTTAAAAATGCACGAGGACAAATTATCTATTAGAAATCAACATTTGGTCAATGATGGACCTCAAGGATTATTAAATTAATGGAGAGGGATGAAATAACATTTTTTTTAAAAATGAGTTTTCTCTATTCTCATACATGATAAAAGTGCTTCCCATTGGTCTAAAATAAGTCAAAATAACTAAATTATTTAGTACAAAAAAAAGTAATTCTATCTAAAATTTATAAAATAAGGTAATATCTAAAAATAAAATTCTTCGGTGGGGCTCTTTAAAGTTCTCAGGAGACTTGAGCCCCAATTCGCTCCTCCGAACTACGTTACTGCAGTGTATATTTTAGATCATAGGTATGGCAAAGGGGGTGGTGGTTCGGAAATTTGTCTGTTTTCATAAATAACAGTTAAAAAAATGAATTAAAACAGGAAAAGTTTTAAAAAAAATTATTATATTGGAATAAAGAAAAGATTGGAGAATAAAATAAATATTTTGAATTGTGATATATATTTTCTAATCCTATCTACAAATAATCAACGGGCGAGACTTAACCCTAATGATATTTTTTATCATCGAATTTTGGGCGGCTGGGCTGAAGGAAATCGATTTTGCGGGACTTTATTTTCTAGTGCACTATGGAAATCGATTTTGCGGGACTTTATTTTCTAGTGCACTATAACCATTATTATAAGGGAAGCCGGGGATCTTATAAATCCGAGGTTCTTACGAGCCTTGGGGTTTTCTTTTAGAGTACCTAACTCTAATAATTATTTTTTTAACCAAATATGTATGACTATACATTATGTATATGCGGCTATATTTTTTTTTAATATTGGATCACATATAAAATCTTTATAACACAATATGATTTTATACTTTCAAAAGTAATTTTTTAAATGCTGCAATTTATCAAAAATAAAAAATATATTTAATAACTTTCTTATATAAAAGATAAAACCTATTATTTATTTGAACAAAAAATATATTTAAACTATGGGGCTACTTTTCAGAGGTTCATATGAGCTTTTTTTTTGCTTATAGAAGTTTGAATATGACAAAAAATTATGTTAAATAAAAGAACAACTAACATGATGAAATCATTAATATAATTAATGAAAATCCGTCCTTGCTAGCCGTTTTGGAGAAAACAAATTTAGATTGTGCAAAAGTAAAAAGATATAAATCAAGATTAATGAAACAATAAGGTTTTAAATTGTCTACATCAAGATAAATATTCAAGAAAGAGCAAGAAACTATATACAATGATCTAATAAATGCATCAAAAATTTTTATGGGTCTTTATCCCACGTAAATACTCTTTTTGGGCACAAGAATCCTGTTGCAATTTAGTATTTTTTATTTGCTTAAATTTTGTTAATAAATTTCACTATTTTCATAATTATTTTCCGATATGGCTTATTTTTATCAATAAAGTAGTTGCAATAATATATATAATTTTAATATTTAAAAATAATCAATATTTTACAGCTCAAAAGTGTCTCATGGAAAGCTCTCCTTTCCTAATTTTTTTTGAAAAAATTAATCCTGTTAAAAAAGTATAAATTAAAAAAAATTATTTATATGTATAACATAAAAGTAAATAAGTGGAATAAAATGAGATAATTTTATTTAGGGCTCACATGCTCCCTCCCTTATATAAATTAAATTTGACGTAACAAACTGGATAATATGATAAATTTATCATACCTGAACTACAAATTTAATACAGGGCTTTATCTATGCACATCAGTTTTAGTAGGATTAATAATTTTTTTCATTCTCTCATTTCATACTTATTTATTGATAAAATGTAAAGGAACAGTAATAAAATCCATAGTGGAATCAGGCCTTAATCTAAATGCTGTATTCAATAAAACGTATGGGATGGTTTATTGGCAGAACTCTGATCTATTTTACACGCTTTTTTCCCGTTTACGAACGTATGTTGCCTCCGCTTCCTCCCCCTACAAGCCTACCGTAATTTAAAAAAATCCTATATATAATTAAAATTATGTATATTTTATAATTTAAAAGTTTTAGGCTTTATATATTATAATATATATTTGCATGGGGGGGGGGGGGGGTTAAGGGAATAATTGCTAATTGCCCTCTATCCCTTTTTAAAATACATAGTTATTTTAAAGTTTAAATTTATCCACCCCCTTAAATTTTTAAATATAAAATGGGTTACTAAAAAAAAATCAGAGACTTGTAGAGTTACTTGAATAATTTTGACCTTAATTATTAATAGAGAATATATTCTCCTGTTTCCATAGTCATATATAGGTAGGTCCACTTCATGTGACATTATAAGTTGAATATCTTTAAATACAAAAGCGGTGATTTCCTATAAATTACTGCCCTAAAATATTTATTGTGCAACTCGTTCAAATGGCGATCAGCCCTGTCGCGAAAAGGGCCGGGCTTCGAACCCGACCTTGCAGAACTCTAATCCAAATATCAAAAGCATATATTAATTTTCAATCATAATACCAATGACTGATATAAATGTCATAGGAAGGATACAATTTAGATTAAATTAAAAACTTTGTGATAGATTGGTTGCTATTCCCCTATTTCTAATCAAATCCTTCTTTTTTTACTTTCCAAGCAAAAAAAAACCGAATGAGATTAATTAATTCTGCTTTAAAATTTTTGTAGTTTTTCTTTAGGCTGTGTCCTAAATATATTTAAAAAACCTCAAAATTTATAGATTTTAACAAATAAGATTGTGAAACATGTCCGAAATCTTCCATTATTATTTTTTCACAAAAAAACGAGAATAAAATACGAAAAACTGCATACTTTAATATTATATTTACCAGTTTTTTCTAAAAATTTACTAAATAAACAAATTTTGAAGAAAAATTTATTCAAATTTATTTATTGCTATTATTTTTTTAAATAAATATTTTTGTAAATGGCGAAAAATGGTTTAGAACACTATTTTATTTTTGCAATATAAATAGCTCAATTATATTTTTTTTCAAAATAGGACACAGCCTTAAGGATTTTTTTGAACTATTCCCATTCCATCTATATTATCGTTCACAAACTTTTTTTAAAATTCATTTTAAAAAATTCCATCTCTTAACCATGTGTAAAGGAAAGTAAAAGTTCAATTTTTTAGGAATACAAGAGTCCTTTAATATTATATTTTGGCAATTAAAATACTTAATTTTGGAACGATTTTTCGATTATCCCACGAAATATTTTAAAAAACATGAATTGCAATCTAATTAAAATGGAATCTTTAGAAAAAACTCAAAAAGTTTTATGGGAACAAGGTACTCTCTGGGTTATAAAATTTTTAAAAATGGGTGATTACCCTCACTAATTTGAGCTATATTTTTACCTATAATTTTAAACCAATTCACAAAAATAGCTTTATTTTTCACGGCTAAATATAGAAACACTCAGTAAGTTAGATCATTGTGAGACATTATTTTTTGTTACTTTTTTTAAAAAAAATTATTTTACCTAATAATAAAAAAAACATATAAAGAATGATTAAAAATTCCAAAAAAAATTATAGCATAATAAAATTAAATACAAATAATATTTTTTAATAAAAAGTTAAGAAAAAGATAAAAAATAAATAAATAAGGAAAGGTAAAATTAAATATGTCAAAAAATAATAATAAATAAGGAAAGGTAAAATTAAATATGGCAAAAAAAAATAAGTTAAATTAAAGATGACAACTAAATATTTGCAAATAATATTAAAACCTCTCAATAGTTTAATAAAATTGATAGGAAAATTTAAAAGATGACAAAATATAAGAAAAAGTAAAATTAAAGATGATGACAATTAAAAAGAAAAATGAAAATTATAGTGATTAAAAATAATGGCTCACAATGTTCCCACTTACCTAACTTTCTTAGTTATAGTGAATTGGTAAATCTTGTACCAAATAGCTTAGCTTAGAGCCCTTTATCACACACATTTTTTGGGCCTGCCCCTGATCTAAGAAAACCCTTTAAAATATTTTCTTCGACCGATCCAGCCCTGAAGATCCAGCTCAAACTATTCATTTATATTTATAAAGATGGGACCGAAAGCGGCACTCGACTCTTTTTTCTTGGATTTGTACGAGCGTACGTTTTGCCTCTTGAACGCTCAGTATCGATTTGACAGTCCCTATAGGAGCTGTTTAAGGTCTACTTATGATATCATCAAGCCTTTCTCGTCCACCAACGGAGACGATCCAGCTAAACAAGGTTTGTATTTATAGAGGAAATATTTTTCATTTTATTGCTATTTCAAAAAATTAATAAGAATATATATCAACTATGCATCGCATAGACAAAAATTCATATTAATTAATTTTAAATGCGATTCTGATATAATATTGAGTAATTTTTCAGAAATGGAACCATTTAAAATTATACTCTCATTTTTGTTTATTCAATGAAACTGTCAAAGCCTCAAGACTGACCACGTCTCTTACCTTGACTCACTCCTTACTCTTCGCCCTTGCTCGACTATCCTACAATATCCTAGAGTATCCTGTGCAAAAAACCACTACTTCTTCCATCGTCCATTATAATCAAGATAATCCATTTTGGATTAGCAAGGTATATTTTCTTTTGTCAATTCAATGGTAAAGTTTTATTAATTGTTATGTATTTTTACCAAAGCTCACTAATGTATTTAAGTTACAAGTTACAACTATTCCAGATTTGGGCCTACATTTATTATATTATTATTGTTTTTAATTAGAATTAAGTCGCAACTGTTTTAATTAATTGGGAAATGAGATGACCCTACTTAAAATTAAACTATAATTTAAAATTTGATTAGTTAATGTTGAAAATCATCAATAAAAAATAAATTCCTGTATCCGAAAATTTTTTGAATAAATTAAAAACAAAATTTACTAAATAATGACAGATACTAGTATCAGATGAAACCGCGAAAAAAGTATTAATGACACTATGGGGTTGCCCTTTATGTCAGCCTAATCCTAATCCTAATGCATCTTACACGCCTTGCCCTAAATTATGCGAAACAATTCTATCAATTTCAGTTCGCCACTTTGCTAAGCTCTCAAACCGCTGGGGCCTATACATTAGTAAATTATTTACCAAAATGTTTTTTGTTAAACCTGAACTTATATTTACACAGATAAGATAACATTATAAAAAATATTAGTGTTGTCAAACGCTATTTTAAAAGTAGCGCGTTATCGCTACCGCTATTTTACAAAAAAAGTAGGCGCAATAGCTAAAGCTACTTTTTACGCTACTTTAGAATATTTTTTAAAATATTTTTTACGTATCTCTATTTCCACAAATAAAAAATATGACTATAATTTCAAATATGTATAATTTTTATTGCATTTCAATAATAATAACATTACTATACTGTTATCCCCAAATCTAGAGCGACTATCAAAAAGTATAAGCTTTGCCGCATAAATAATCGTTCAACACTAGCAGGTGGATTTTTCCCCAATAATTTTTATTGAAGATATTTAAGTCCACTTATTTTAGGCCTTTAGCTATATTCGATTTTTATAAAAATAATTTTGGGTTTTTATTTTTTTTTAATAAAAATGCTTTTTTTTCTAAAAATCTTGAATTATAGTCGTTATTTTAAATAGTTATTACCTTTTACTAATTTTTCTTTCAAATACTTCCTTTATGTGATATATTGTACATATTGGGAGAGGGGAGGGGTATGAAGGGGGGATATTTTTATTAGCTTAAAATGATGTTTATTTAAACAGACAAATTTGCGATAGGGGGGGGGGGTTTCCCCCTTTAGATTGATGATAAAATAAAATGTGTTGTTAATATTAATTATTTAAAATTTTTAATTTATAACATATTTCTTAAATAATATCTTGTGGCCAGTTGACGTTTGATTATAAATGTATTTAATAATTTTTATGTTTAGTTCTATTCATTATATAAGATAGGAGCGAAGTAGCGCTAGAGGTCTTCACCGGTCGGGTTCTGACATAAAAGACTTTTTATTTATGGGTAGGGTTGTAAGAGGTGCCCAACCCGATTGATAAATATCTTCCATAGTGTCAATTGGAATGACATGTCATTTTTTATCTAACACATATTTCATCATTAAATTGTCAATCAGAATAACATGACATTTTCAATGATTATTTTACATAACACCCGTTTACCAAACTATTTTGTTATTTATTTTTGTTATTACATACTTTATTTAGATCATATTTTATCAGGCTAATAATATAGTTATCTAATATCTATTTAATTTAATAGCCTCAAATTTTCAATATTTAAAATCTTTTACCAAATCTTAAATTGATGGAAGACTTATCAAATCGACTTCCCAATTAAATGTTTTGGCTCTTAAATTCCTGGCTATCCCTGTTTCCTCTGCTAGCTGGGAAATAGCGCTTTCAGCGCCTGATAGGAAATTTGAAGATAGGAGTATTTGTTTAAAGCCTGCTCGAATCCTCATTATTTGTATATCACAATTAACTATGTGATACTATTAATAATGTTATTGATATTTTATAATATGTTCATTATATCACGCACATTATTTTTATATAATCGCAATAAATTTTAAATTCGATTGTAATTCAACTTTTTTAATATTTAAACTGAATAAAAGTTATATGTTTCCAATTTAAATAAAATGCACTAAATATAAAAATTGATTATATTATGACAGTCGAATAAACCTTTGTTTAAAGTAATACATAATTTTTTAATTGTTTTTTAGATATTATGATATCAAATTTAAAAATTTTTAGTCGGGTTCGGATCGGGTTGAAAAAAATTTGAATTGGGTTCGGGTCGAGCTAGGACAAATTTTTTTTATATTTCGGCTCTGGTTGCAAAAAATCACCTTGCAGACTTTCTAAATTAGTAGTGAGCTTAGAGGTCTGCAAAGTGATTTTTTCAGGGCCCGAGCCCAAATTTAAATTTTATTGTCCAAGCCCGACCAGAATCCGAGATCACATTTTTAGACCCAACCCGAGCCCGACTAAAAGAAATTTTATTATTTGAGTTTAAATATGATAATATCTAAAAAGCAATTAAAAATTATGTGTATTTATTCACATATTGCCACCTTATCAATCTTCATATAAACTACATTTTATTTAATTTGTATACATATAAATTTTATTCAGTTAAAATATAAAAAGTAAAGTTAAAATAAAATCAAATTTAAAAATTATTGCGATTATAATTTGCATGATTGATCTAGGAAAAAAATGATATAATTGTTTATATAGAGGAAAAAATTCTTAAAAAAAAAATAACGAATAAAAAGACATATCAATATCAGTTACTGATTGACAATTTTGTCAAACAAATGATATTCGAATTATTAAGGATATATGTAATTTTAATATTTATCGGGTCGGGCACATTTACAGCCCGACCCGAGCCCCGGGTCGGACTTCGGGCTGCCCATGCATACCTCTAAGGGAGCTACCGCTATGGCTATTTTTAAAATGTAGCGCGCTAAAGCCACTACTACTGAAAAGTAGTGCGCTCTAGTAGCGTGCTACTTTAACAACACTGAAAAATATTTACTTTAAAAATGTAGATAAAAATCAAAGATATAATGATAATAATATAAAAAGTTAATTATAAACGGATAAAATATCATGACCAACTATTTTTTAGTTGGCTCTAAAAGGAGCCTTAGTTATATTTGAAAAGTTTGCATTTTTTGCCGTAAAAAAAGAAAATATATTGGTTTATTAGTAAATGTCTTGATTTTTGAGCACAAACGTTTTAAAAGTTTGTATGTTAAAGGGGAAAAATGTCCAGTTGTTGATAATAAGATTGGAGTGAACATGTTGTTTAATAATTGTAATTATTTTTTTTTGTTTCGGCCGTTATTAAAAGATTCTAATTTTTGTCTAAAAAGGAGACATAAGTGATATCCCAAATAAGAAATTTGCCTGAACACCCAAGGGATTATTTGCAATCCATCTGGGCTCTATCCTTTGATGTTAGATTGGTAGGTTCTAAAATATTTGGGAAGAGCAGCTTTTAGGCTCCGACTTATTATTCGATTAATTGAGGCAGGAAGTTGATGTCAGCTTTGACCTGTGATGTAAATCGCTCTATTTGAGCCGTTTTTAATAACAGCGAAATCATTTCATAACCTTGGAGATTTCGCTAATAGGTGTCCAAACCTTTGTATCGTCTATTGAAATCCTTAGGCTTCATAATATTTTTTCGGATAAAATATTGAGTTAGCCATTTTTAAAAATCTGCTTAACCCTTTAAAGTCCTGTGAGCTCATTTGACATCATTGCATGCTATTTTTTAACGTTTAAAACAACATTTTAAAATAAATATGTAATGTATTCAATTATATTTTAATAATAATCAAAAAAAATATGCTTTTGTTTTTAGTTTATTATCACTTAACTTTTGACTATATTTCCGTTTCGATTTTTCCTAAATTACTTGATTTTACATATTATTTATATATATTTTAATTGAAAAATTTTGAAAACTGTTTATTTTATAAAGAAGACAAAATATTCAAGTATGTCATCATGAATTTTTTTTTTTAAATTTTAATTATTTTTGTAAATATAATTTTAAAAATTATGATCCCAAATTAATTCATTATTCAATAGATTATTTTATTAACATTGAATTTTATTTTTATTGATGTCAAATAAAATTATTATAATTGAAGGTGATATTTTGGAAACAGATATTGATGATAATGAGAATAATTTAAATCATCCTATTGACAATATGGATAGAGATTCATCCACAAATGCACTCCACGTAGATCCAATTAGGTTGCAATTCGAAAAGCGATCGCGATTTTAAGAAAATGGGGAAAGGTAGTTTCGATTACAAAACTGACATTAATAATATAATAATTGTCAAATGGTTTGACAATCAATTTCTTCATTTTATATCATCCTTATATGGTATCGACCCAATAGAAGCTGTGAGGCGATGATTCTTGAAAAGAAAAAAATTTATTCAGATCCCTAGGCCTTGTATTTTAAAAAAATATAATGAAGGAATGGGAGGTGTAGATTTACACGATATGCTTGGAATGCTACAGAGTAGATATCAAAGGTAGAAGGTTCTATCTTCGAATTATAATTCATTTGATAGATACCTGCATTGTAAATGCATGGTTATTGTATCGAAGACATTAACTTTAAAAAAGTGAAATTTTTTTTATAAAACTGATAACATTTAAATCTCATATAACTGCTTTATTAATGGCAGGTAAAATTTAAAATAAGAATAGGGACACCTATAAATGAAACGCCTAAATTATAAAAAGGATCTAGGTTACCTCAGGTAATATTTAGATATAATATAGGGCATTGACCAGAAGCTTCCAAAGCTCGAAAAAGGAAACTATGTGTTAGCGCATATTCAAAGACTAAATGTGAAATTTATTTATACTCTAACCAGGATAGAAATTGTTTTAAAACATTTCATAATAAATATATATATATTTTTTTATACATGCATTTCGCTCAATGATGTCAAATTTTATCATGATTTTTTTCATGTAAACTATGAAATAAAAGTCGAAATTTTACATCTTTGGTGTATATAAATGAAGATTTTTTATAAAAATTTTTTTTTAGTCTTATTTAAAAAAGTCGAGTTTTAAAGGGTTAATTGAAGTAGTCTTGACTATATAAACAGTTAAGTCCATGCCACTCCTTAGAAGTTTCTAAAGTGTTGCGATCAATGCAATTATGTGGTTGAAAAATGCCACATCCTAATCGTGATATATCTCACAATTGTTCTCCTGGTAAAAGATTACCAAGGTTTTAACGGGGTAGGGCTTCCAAAGATTGCTTAAGTTATAGAATTCCTATCAGTCCGTGCATTTACATTTAAGAATATAACAAATTTTATGATAGAAAAATATATGTGAATGGACCACGATTTAAAATATAGTATAAAATAATTTTATTAAAGCGTAATCCATTATCTGCTTCGTTATATGTTTTAATAATTATAATAAACAATAGCATCGATAGGAAGAGTATTTTATATTGGAGCTAAATGTTTTTTAGAAAGCTTAAATAAAAATATTTTCTTTTGATTTTCAGCACACCTAAATGAATGATAGGAGCTAAGCGATGTCACTGTTATTAATTATAAATACGAATAATAAAAATATATAAGAATATTGTATAATATTTATTATTTTTTATATTTAAATTGTAGATGCAATCCTAGATATTTTGAAGCGACTACAAGGTTCTTTTAGTTTAGAAGCTAATATTAATACATTAGACGTTAAAATATCGGAGGCTATAATGAATTTTCAGGAACGTTCTATAACTTTCTCAAACAAGGTATAAGCTTATAAAATTAACTTAATATACAATATTATATAATAAGGTATATAAAATATGTGGTCAACCTCCACTAAAATCATACGACAGTGTTAATGATCAAGTATTTCAGAATTCTCTTAAACCTGATTGGCGAAAGTTGGTGGTAGATGATAACAAGGAATTTTTTAAAGGCGTACAAAAGGAATACAAAACAAATTCGATTTTGAGCGACATAAGCAGTTTAACTGAAAATGCCAGGCATTTTTGGGAAGATCTAAATAGCACCTTGATTATCAAGTTGTGTCCCGTTTTTGTGCATAGTCAAAAATTAACCAGTCTTAATCACATCAACCCTTCACCGACAGAAAAGGAAGAAAGCATTTGCTGGAATGGACAAAATTACAAGTATATGAATAAAATAGATAAATTATCATTTCAAATTATCTAAGTTATATTCCTATTCAGTTTTTTTTAAAATTTGTTTACTAACAACATTACTAAACTTTTGGTTATAAACAAATCAGAAACTTGCAAGCCCATGCCAAACACTGAGCCAAAAAAATTACATATCTGGACTGGGCCGATTTAAAAATAAATAAATGTATCTTATATAAACCAATAAGTATATCAACGATGGATTATGATTATTTATTAAACATTCATTTTTTCTCATATATTTAATTTCACTTTGAAGCCTTTACAAAATACAGCCAAAGTTATTTAGAATGGCCAATCTTAACAACTCACTCAATGCCCTGCCTTAAAATGAGTATATTAAAAAATCCGGTCTAGGCTGGAAAATGAAAAAACGTTTAATGGATTGAGCAAAAAAATGGATATTTTATTTATTATTATCTTTATCATATATTATAAGCGCTTCAAATCATTATAATGTGTCATCATTACCAGCAATTACCTCTAACCTCAATCTTACAGTGATGAAAGGGATTGAAAGTTCTATCGATAAATTGACTCAAATTTTGGTTAAAACGTATAAAGGGACATCAGTTTACATAGTCGATGATGGTAATAATAAAAATTTATTATATTTTAAACAATTTGTCTTTCAAGGGGAAAAAAATTGTGCTTCACGCTTAAATTTAATTTATTATATTTTTGAGCCACAATGATAATAACTAGCGAATACTCCACTAAATAACCTTATAGATTTATTTTATTATTAATTTTAAATCAAATAACATAATATAAATTGTGAAAATCGTCATTTTAAAAAACCATTTATCATTCTTTATTTCATTAGTTCATATTTTTTTTAAAATATAGAAGATGAACAACTTCCGCCAAAACAATTTGTCATTTCAGATTCGAAATTAGATCTTTCACTTGACAATAGTGGAAGTGGGATGCATATTTTAGAAGAGAATTTATATTCCACTATTGATCCAACTAGCCGCCAAAACCACTCTCTTGGGTATGCTAAACATATTCCTTTAGTCACTTTACAAGGAGATTTAGAGCAACCAAAATTATTCCATGATGATGATACAACCCCACAAGAAGGTTCTGGTATAATTGAAAGTAATTTACTTGCTAAAAAAAATACCAGCTATGTTATGTTTATATCCACAATCGAACCCAAAATAATTACCTCCGTGACCCCTGTGATACTTAACCATCATCCAATAGACGTTATCATTACAAAGAATACGGTATATGGAAAAATTGACAACGATGACCAGGATGCGAGTGATAGCTCTAATAGAGGAAACGTATTAAGTGAAAATGGTAAAATAAGTGAAAGAGACCCTGGGACTATTGTATATCGATTTGGGTTGACCGTATTTATGCTGGGAGTTGTTTTCGTTCCTTAATAATCTCAGTAGTTTAGCTGTGGAAAATTAACGCTTATTTCTTCTGCTGCTAAAATTTAATTATAATTATCTAAACAATTGTAAATAGCAAAATATATTTATCCTTTGTAAATTTTCAAAAAATTCAAGTCGTTTTTGTAATATCAAAAAAAAAACAATTTCTATATATTTTAAAATTTATAATCATATATGATATGACACAAATCTCTAAGTGAACATTTCCAAAAATTTAATTTTGCCTTTGTTTATCATTTTTTATATTATAAATATACCGTTATCATATATGATATGACACAAATCTCTAAGTGAACATTTCCAACAATTTAATTTTGCCTTTGTTTATTATTTTTTATATTATAAATATACCGTTATAATATAATAAACATTCCGTTATAAAATATTTTAAACAAAAGTGAATTATTTTTAAAATTCTTATTTATTAGTTGAGTCATTGCCTAGGGCCACAAAAAAAACAGAAATTGAGTTGGCACAAAATGGGATTAAAAATAACTAAATCAGCATATATTGATTTTTTTAGTAATAAAATATATATATTATACATAAGTGATAAAATCTTATTTTAAAAATTATAGAAAAATATAATATATATAGAAAATTTATATATTTTTTTATTTTTAAATATGAGAATAGAATGATGAAAGTATTCTGGCAAAAATAAAAAATTGTGCCATAGGGAATAGAATACCTATTTTTTAATTTGAGTTTTTAAAAAATCGCTAAAAATGGGGACTATTTCTTCAAGTGTTTAGGAATCTCCATTCTTAGCAATTTTTTTAAAAATTCTATTGAAATGTTAATGTTACCTTCATTAGCATCCATCATCAATATTATTTCCAATATTTTATATAATATACATTAAATATAGTCAGTTTTCTGCTTCTTTACATTTTACGTTTTCGAATAGGAAGAGTCTTGATAGCTTGCAATTATATAGACTAACAATAACCATGAATCGGATGTTAATGTTTTTAATCTTCTTGAAGAACTAAAATTGATTGGCAGACTTGTCGAATCAGAGAGGACTACTAGCTCTATTAAAATTTATTTATTATCTCATAATACTGGAAATTTACCCTACCCCAATACAAAAATAGCTCAACGATCTATTAACAATATCAGGAACCGTGGAAAGTTCTGAAAAAAGTTTTTAAAATTTAAAAGTAATTAATTAACTATGACAAATGAAAAATTGGGTTGCTTATGATTTCTATTTTATGGAATCCGAAATAGCATAGGCTTCAAATATAGAGAAAATTGTACAAGACTTTGCAACAAAAAATTAAAATCAATATATAAAATTTATGCCTTCTTATTTATTCTTTTTAATATAGCATGATAATCCAACAGGAGCCCCTCCTCTTTTGCTTAGGCCTACATGGCCACTTGTCTGGGATCTGAAATTCAAGTTTGATTTGGAACTTAATGTTTGGTATTCTTAATTAGTAGACTATTTGTAGCTCTTTACCTAAAGTTATGGAATCTCAAATTTTTATTGAGACTTATTCAAAGCATAGACCTAATCCTAAACAAACTAAGATAGAAATATGTTTTCTAAATAAGAATACAATAGCTTTATATTACTATAAAACTGTTGAAATTAAAAACTTTCACTTGATTTTCCTCCTTCGGAAATATTAGCCTAATTTTTTGACAACACATTTTGCTTGAATCCAATCCAAACAATCTCCAGTCACATTTGAACCTCTATATAATTTGCAAATGCTTATATGTTCCTAAAAACCCCTTTCGCACATTCTCCTTTTTTTACTTAAATAATTAATCGAGGAGTCTTTATTTAAAACCTTATTGAAAATTTTTTAAAATCTCAACTCTATCTAATTGGAAATTAGCACAACCCCCTGATAAAATTGGTGGCATCTACTTATTATCTCTTCATACCTTTTTATCTTTCCTCCCTTCCCGTCTCATAAACAATTTGCTATTATCGCCTAATTTCTCCTTGATAATAGAGGCGTTACTATGTGGCAGAATACTATTTCGACGTATACAGTGTTTCCTGATATGGCAACTCACAAAAATTTTCATACCTTAATTTCAAAATCTTATTCCGTTTTATCCATATCGCCACTTTAAACGTACAAAAGAGATCTGCAAAATTAGACCCGGCCCCGTACCCGGCCCCAATAAGAATTCGGGCCGGGTCGGGTCAGGCCTTAGAAATTTTTTATAATATATCTAAATTTATCAATTTTATGTTGAATATTTTATGTAAAAAATAATATATGATTATATTTATAGAAAGTAGACGCCAAATAACATATATAGTTTATTTTGAATAATTATTAAAATTAATTTCTATATTTAAGGGCTTGAAAAATTAGGCCCTATGCAGATCACTAACCTACAATTCTTTCAAAATATTGATATGGTTGAGAGCCTTGCCTAATAAAAATTTAGGGACCTTCTAGCTTACAAACAACTAAGAGTTACCTTAAGCCATAACTCGGTTACAACATAGTTGCCTGAATTGCAACTTAAGTCAATTAAGGTCAGAAAAGAGTTACATTGTATTAAAGTCAGGACATTAACGCCATTCATCAATAAACAAACTTCTCAGCCTATTCCTAAAAATGGTTCGATCAATGTCTTAGAATCTCGTAACCTTTCATTATATGATGAGTTAAGATTAGATGACCTCAAAACTATCTCATGGGATATGGCAAATCTCTCATCTGGGATTATAATTGTGTTACCACTTTCCCCACAAATGTTAATAGTAACTTAATCAAGCAGAAACAAATTGATAAATATATGCGAAACATGGAATAACTTTACTATTACCCTGCCAAATCCACTACCCAAAATATGCTAAAACGCTTTTTAAAAAACTAGCTCACAAAATCCGAATTCAAACATGGAAGGTTAAAGATTTTTTAAAATATAATTACCGCTCATGGACTTAAATTATGTTTTTAAAAGAAAAATATTTCATAGTTTAATTTGAAAATATATGTTTATTTTTACTGATAATATGATCAGCTTATGAAATCAATTAAGCTATTATTGGTGTTTTACTGGTATATTAACGCAAAAAAGATACAAAATTTTATTGAGATTACCTATTTTATAAATTATAAAATATATTGGGCTACGTCCTAGCCCAGCTTTCGGCCGGTGGGAGTGTGATCTGGGAATCATAAATGGCACGGAATCAGGGTGAGTGACAAATTGCGATGGATTAAAAATCATGAGATATCAGGGTTTAAACAAAAATATAATATAGGTATGGACTGAGGAGGTATATTGAAAAAAATATCATCAACTTATATATTGCTATAATATAAATTAGTATATTTCAGTAACTAATTTTCTGAGGAGAAACAATGAGAATAAAAATTATACTAATATTTATTAACATGTAAAATAATTATATATGCGAATCAAGACGAATATTGTTTGTTGAACCATTTTGGTAAGCTTTCTATAAGGTAAGATTATTAAGAATAGATTTTTTTTAAAAATATTCCTTTTTTAATTTAAACATTCTTTTGAGCTTTTCCCTTTTTAATTGACACTTTACCCTTTTGATTGGACTTTGAGACCCTTTTCCTTTTTTGATCGGATTTCAACAGGAAATTATCGGTGCTTGAAAGAAAATGGCATGCTAGAATCAATAGGAAGAATTAAACTATTTCTAAGAATGAAAAATCTTAATGCCAATATAGGATGGAAAGAAAAGAGGGAAAGAATGAAAGATAAAATGAAATACAAAGAAGCAGGAAAAGTGAAGAATAGGGAAAGGAAAATAAAAAGGGGCATAGAAAAAAAAAGAGAACTAGGGAAATGTAAAGAAAAGGGAAAAATGAAGAGGGAAAATGGAAAAGGGAAGGAAAAAAGAAAGATAATGGAAATAGGAAAGAGAAAGGGGAAAAAAGGAGAAAAGGTAAAGAAAAATGAGATGGAAAAGGATTAGGAAAGAAGGGGAGAAAAAGGGTAGGGAAAAAGAAAGAGGGCGAAAAGGTATAGGAAAGGGAAAGAAAAATGAAAATAAAAAGGGAAATAAAAGTGTAGAAAGGGAAAACGAAAGGAAGGGAAAGATAAAGAAGGGAAGAAGGGGGGGGGATAAAGGGGGAAATAAGCAGGAAAGTGAAAAGAAAATAGAGCAATAAAAAGGGGGAAATAAAGAGATCTAAAAGGTAAAAGAAAAGTGAAAAGAAGGATGAAGGGGAAAAAAGAGAGGGAAGGAAAGTAAATGAAATGAAAGGGAAAGGAAGAAAAAGGTAAAAGAAAAGGGAAAGAAACTGGAAAGGAGAAGGAAAAAAGAAGGGAAAAAAGGAGAAATGAAAAGGGAAGAAAAGTAGAGGAATAGGATAGAGAGGTAGGGGAAAGAGGAGGTGAAATAGAAAGGAAAAATGAAGGGAAAGAAAAGGTGGAAGGGAAAAAAATAGGATGGAAAGAAAAGAGGAAAGGAGAAGGGCAAGGAAAAGAAAAAGCGAACGAAAAGTAAATGGAAAAAGAGGTGGAGGGAGCCAAAGAAATAAAAAGCGGAAAAAGGGTTAACAGGCTAAAATAAATATAGTTAAAAACAAACAAAAAATTGGGAATCTTATTTATATATTCTAGAAAATTTTTAAAGTAAATTTGAAATTAATATTAATAGATGCTAAGGAAGTTAATTCTTGTTTTTATATTGAGTTTTATAAAAATAAGGGCTAAAAATGAGGGAAATAAGTTTACTTCCTAGCATCCATTAATATTATTCAATATTGCTTTTAAAATTTTACAAGATATAAGCGAGATTTACAATTTTTAAGGACAAGGGAAAAAGAAGGAAAAGGTAAAGAAGAGGGGAATGAAGACGCGAAAGAAAAAGATATAAAAGAAAGGAAAAGGGAAAGGAAAAGAGTAAGAAAGGGAAAAAGATAATGGGAAAGAAAAAATAAAAGGAAAAGAGAAGAGAAGAAAGGGGAAGGTAATAAGAGAGAAATTAAAAAGGAAATTAGGGAAAAGAGAAAGAAAAAAGAACATGGAAAGGAAATTAAAAAGAGGAGAGGAGAAAGAGAAAGAAAGGAAAAGGGTAAAAAAGAGAAAGAATGAAAGGAAAAGAAAAAGAAAAAGAGAAGAAAGGAAAAGAAAAAGAGAAGAAAGGGGAAGTTGATAAGAGAAATTAAATGGGAAAAGAAGGAAAAGAGAAAGAAAAAGGAATATGGAAAGGAAATTAAAAGGGAAAGAGAGGATATGGAAAGAAAAGTGGAAATGGAAAAACAAGGGGACAGAGAAAGAAAAGAAAGTAAAAGGTAATAAGAGAAATTTAAAAGAAAAAGGATGGAAAAGAAATTAAAAAATGAAGAAGGGAATGGGAAAGGGAAAATTTAAAAAAAAGGGAATGGGAAAGGGAAAAGTTTAAAAAAAGGGAATGGGAAATGGAGAAGTTAAAAAAAAGGTAAGGGAAAAGAAAAGAAAAAAGGAAAGAAAAGAAAAGAAAAGAAAAGAGAAAAAAAAAGGAAAAGGAGAGAAGACGAAAAGATTAAGAAAAAGAAATGTGTAAAAATGAAAATGGAAAGAAAAAAGGAATATGGAAAGGAAATTAAAGAGGGTATGAAAAGTAAATATAAAAGAAAAGAAGGATAATGGAAAATAAAAAGGGAAAGAAAGGGGGAGAGGGAAAGAAAAGAGGAAAGCAAAAGGAGAAGGAAAAGAGAAGTGGGAGAAGAAAGCATGGAAAAGGAAAAGGGAAAGAACAGGGAAAAAAAAGGAAAGTAGAAGAAAGCTAGGAAAAGGAAAGTGAAAAGAAAAAGGGAAAGGAAAAAGATGGAGAAAAGGGGATTGGAAAAGAGAAGGGAAAATAAAAGAAAGAAACCATGAAAAAAATTAATTGTAAAAAGAAATAGGGTAAGAAAACGGTAAAGGAAATGAGAAAGGAAAAGAGAAGAGAAGGGATGGGAAAATAAAATAAAATGAGGAAGAAGGGGAAAGAAAAAGGAAAAAAGGGAAAGAGCAAAAGGAGAAGGGAAAAATGGAAAAGGGATAAGGGAAAGAAAGGAGAGAAAAGGGGAAGAGAGATGGCAAAGATATGGGGAGATGTAAAGCGAAACGAAAAAGGAATAGGAAGAAATGGATATAAAAATGAGAAGGAAAGGAAAAAAAGGGAAGTAACAAACTTTATTTTGTATGGTTTGTAGAATTTACTAGGTTTCGTGATCTTTGGAACGCTTATTTTGTTGATTAACTTGCCATCTCCTTCTTTGTTTGGCAACGATAGATAAAACAAAATTTGTTCAATCATTAAGAGGAGTTAAAACAGGGGCTTGTTCTCTAAAATAAAATAAAATAAAAAATAACAATGCACTGAACCTGTAGAGGAGTCAATATTAGGTTCAACTCTCAATAAATCTTGGAAATATCATCAGATTGGTAAAACTAAAACAGATGTATTCTAAAATATAAGAAAAATATCATATTAAAAAAATTATTGAATTTATAAAGATAAATAAACATTTCTGCACTTTTAGTATATATAAATGACTAACTTTATTTTGTCTGGTTGAATATATAAATGACTAACTTTATTTTGTATGGTTGATAGAATTTGGTGGGTTTCGAGATCTTTGGAACGTTTATTTTTCGTCATTTTCTTTGTTTGGCAACGAAATATAAATCAAAATTTGCAACTAAAAGGGATCAAAACAGAGCCTGTTTTCTAAAATAAAAACAAAAGAAAAATTTATAAATTAATAATGCACTGAACCTGCAGAGGAGTCAATATTAGTTGAAATCTCTAGTAATAGGGGGAATATCATCAGATATTGACAAAGCTAAAACAGATGCAATCTAAAATGTAAGAAAAGTAGAACATTTATTATTGTATGGTTGAAAGATTTTGATGGGTTTGTGATTTCTGGAACATTTATTCTTTCATTCTTTAGTAACCCATTAGTTCTAATTTTACTTGAATATAATATAATTTACTTCAAATCTTCACAACATTGTAATTAAAATTTCATGTGTGACCCATCAGTTCTTTCTAAAAGCTAATAATTCCAGTGATTATGAATGAAAATATGAGTTAGAAGATATTTTATGGTGGTTTTTGAATACTTGAATGAAAGTGGGCTAGCAGATATATTTTGGTGACTTATTTCGCTATTTTGCTATTTACCTATTTTTATTCAGTTTTTTAAAAAAAATTTACGTTAAAATAAATTTTGTTTATCCAGTTTTAAAAAAAAATTTATCTAAGTAAAAATAAAATAAATAAATAAGTAGTGATGATATGATCTAAAATGTCGTAATACAATCGAAAAATTATAATACAAACATTTTTTGCCTTCTTGTCGCCATTAAAAGATTTAAATAATAGAATATCATATCTATATTATAATTTTCCGATGCCCTCATTAAGTCATGTCATCACTATGTCATCTCATCACTACGTCATGTCATCGCTACATCATGTCATCGCTACGTCATGTCATCGGTACGTATTTATCATTTTATATATTTTTTTTTGTATGAATAAAAATATTTAAAGAAAATCTGTTTGACAGTTGTAATATTGGAAGAAATTATAGTTTTAAACTAGATCATTAATGATTATAAATTATTCATATGGACCTCAGAAAAATTACTTTAAAATCAAGAATTAGGCAAATTTTTTTATTTAACTTTTTTTTTATTTGCAGATTCCCTATTAACCTTACAACTCCTTCCACTATTACTTCCTTCTCACGTCCTACAATAACAAAAAAATTAATAATTTAATAATTGGTTGTGTTATATATCAATAACGGTGGTGTTATGGACAAGAAAAAATGTTTTATTTATTATAAATATATCTAAAACTAAAAATGATACTAAAAATAAATATAAAATAAGGTATATATATATTATAAAAAAACAATTTAAACGAAATATATCGTTAAAGGCTAACATGTTTAAAATAAAAGCAATTTAAGTTAAACAAATTTAAAAAGTCTATCTCGATTAACATTCCCTTTCTTCTGAAAAGCCTTCCCATAATCCATCTGAGCTGTCATAGAAAATTTATCGTTCAAATGGTTGTTCATTTTGATTGTTCAAGTCATTCATAGTCGTTGTAATCGTTGGCTTGATAATATCGTTCCGAGTACGTAGGCTTGTCGTCAATCTCCGTCTCATTGTCAATTTTACAAAATTGTTATTATCACCAGTTGTAAAATTATCATTATTAAATAGGATTTCGGAATATATGAATAATTAGAAAATTTTTCTTTTTTTAAAATAATAACACAATTTATTTAAAAATCAACTTTAAAATAATACATTGAAAGTTAAAAGTAAAACATATATATGTAATTTAAAAATATATATTAAAAATATCATGTTAACTATTTGTAAATTAAAATCTATATAAAAAACTGTATAATAAAAAAAAAAAATTAGTATAGTAAATTGTATGTTGGGTGGGAGGAGGTCAAGAAAGAGAGCCGTGGATGGCAATGCAGTTAGATATGCATATATCAATAGATATGCGCTGTCTGAAATAGAAGCCTTCCTGTGGGTCACCAGTGATGGCGCGGATTTTTTTACCAAGGGATTTGAAGAAGGTGAGGGCATGATTGCCAAAACCGGTTGTGTCGGATACGATTTATATGAGATTGCAATTGGTTAGGGAAGTGTATTTATTAATTTTAGAGTTTTCAGCTCGCATGACTGAGTTGTTATTAAAGGAGGGAGCAAATCGGTCGATGCAAGTATAGTCCCATGCTAATGGAATTCCATTACTCCATGGCATTAATGTCAGCCCATCTGGCCGTATATTAATCTCAGTTGAGAGGCCACGGGGTTCGAGGGTTGCTGGAATTTGAGCTGAGCGTAGAGCACGGAGAATGGTGCCGTTAACTGCACTGTGTCGAGAATGTCTACCTTTAGAGAATCGACAATGAAGAGGATGATGTCCAAAACAATCAACGGGTTGGGAACATAATGTACATGTGGAGTTGGCCAGTATTTTACCACCAAGACGGAGACCTATTGCTATGCGTAATTCTTCGTTTGTTAAGAGAAGTCCTAAGTTTGAGCTGGGCAAAGCTTCTAACTATTCATAGCCCGTTAGGGAAGGCAAAAGTTGTGGAACTTGCAGTTGTGGGAGAGAGAGATGATCAACTGTTAAGGTTTCATCAACTGTAATGGGAGATAATAAAATGTGAAAGGATTGATGGGGATCCCTTAGAAGCAGCACTCGATATTAGATATTCAACGGAGTGGCGTATTAAGGGAAGATCCCAGTCATGTTGCTTTCGTGATGTGGGGATTGGAGCGGAGAAGGAATTCTCTTTCCAGATTGCTATAGAGTGGGGGAGGTGGGGGTCTGCGGGGTTATTTTTAAGTGATAGAATAATTAAGCGGGAGCTTGATTCTGAGGCTAAAAAGGCAGCAAGGCTGAGTGACGCGGGTGATCTTAAGCCAAGACCCCCGAATTTCGAGAGTAAGGAGGCCTACATCCAAAAATTAGGGCTGAATTTTATACTAAGGATGCCTTCTAAAGAGTCTTTGATTGTTGATTCTATTTGGGTGAGAATTTCTGGGTATAAGAAAAGTGATGCAGAGCGGAAGGCGTGTTGGATTTTTGGAATAAAGAAAAAGTTTTTGAGAAGGAAGAAAGCTTGATGGGAGGGAAGGACTTGAAGGATTTTATGTAAAAAGTGGAAATTACGGAGAAATTTTGTTTTAAAATATTCGATTGCTTTATTGCCGCCTATTAGAGATCCAAGATGTGTGAACCGGATAGGTTAATGGGTGTGAAGTTATGAGGAACGATAAAGGTTTCATCTGGTGAATAAAATTCGCATTTGTTATAGACAACCCTGTAATATTGGTTAGATTATTTATTATAGGCGCTATTTTTAGGAGTTCATCATATGGACCAGCAAGGGTTCCATCATCCAAATACCAAACATTGAGGGTCAAATTTGTCTCACGATTTATCGATTCAATGATTGACTGGATACCTAAGCAAAAAAGGGCGGGTCCAAGGGGATCACCCTGTTAAATGCCTTGCCTTGATTCAATAATTGTATTGTTGAATTTAAGGTAGGATGAATTGTTATAAGAGGCAAAAAGATATGGAGAATATTCTGGAAAAGCGTCGCAGAAAATAGGGAGAAAGTGTTCTCGTTTTAAAGAGTTAAAGGCGTTTTTAAAATCCACTTTTAGCATGCAGTTTTTAGTGGAGTGAAGTTGGATACGTGTAGCGTGGGAGGCTGCTTCACAACCAGAAGGTATGTTGAAGCCAAGCTGATGGGGAACTAATCGCTCGGTGAGCTTGCTTTTAATGCGGGTACAAATAATTTTAGATATAATTCGACGGAAAATAGAGCCAACAGCGATTGGGCGAATGCCGCCATTTTTTTTGTTTAAGGCTATTAAGCGTGCACCGTGAATAAGAGGTTGTACTGTAGAAGGTATGTTGTCGTTTAAAATATGATTAAGTAGAGTTGTTATGTTGTTTATAAGTTCAATGCTGGTTGTTGATTTGGTAAGGTCCTGAAGGTATATAGCTCTAAAACCGTCAAGTCCTCCTGAGGAGTCTTTTCTGAAAGAGACTATTGCCTTAGTAACTTCTATGACAGTTAAAGGAGGAGTAGGAATGGATAGAGGTGGTGGTGGTAATTCATTAAAATCTTGGGGATGTATAGATTGTTAAGAGTATAGTGTCTAAATTGTCAGGGGATATAATGTCTTCAGACTGCTAAATTTAAAGCTGCTTTAATATTACATGCGTT